AGCATAGTAGATATTTTGGCCAGGACTAGCCATCCAGCCTGCGACTAGTGAGCATGCGCACCCTGCCACGGATTTTTGAGTATTATATGGATATGGATGGTTCGGAAACGTCGATGTTTGTGTCTTCGAATGCTGCGATGCGGGATGCGAGGATCGTGTGTAACTTGACTTCCGAAGTGACCGAGGATGATGGGGACGAGGATAGGGAAATGGAGAGCGACGCTACATCGGAACCTGAGAAAGAGTACTATATTACACACAGTCAAGAGAAGAGGTTTAGAGATATGCAACCGTGAGCGAGTATACGGTCGGCGGAATGCGTCCGGGGAGCGATAGTGATCCATTATCAGCTAAACATGCCACTTCATTCGCATCTCATAGCCTTAACCAACTCAGAGAATAAACATATTTAGGGTGAAAAGTCACTATGAGCTACCATTTCAGTGATGGTGAACCTCAACTACTTCCTCAGGCCATATTGAACACCGCAATTCCTCGTCGTTGAAATTCGCCTGGCCAAAATCCAGGCTCTCGTCCCATAGGATCCTCGTATCCTAAGGTCGGGTACATTTAGGCACCCCTGACTCTTGATTCACACCACCACCATCCCCACCGTCCACCGCCCCAACACCAATTATTCTACGGCAGCTACGGCAGCATACAAACATACAAAACGCCATGACCACTTCGCCCGCAAAAGGGTCCGATCGTCGCACTGCCTCCCGCAAACATTTCATCCACCTCCCCCGCGATCAGCGTGGGCAGTAATCGGACCCAACTTAGACTATCAATGCGTCCACTTAATGCTCTAGCCTAATCTGTCACAAACGATCCAAACTCAGTCTTAACCGTCCTCAATCTGGATTTGATTTTTTATTGATCGACTTGGCTGGTGAATTAGACCGCCACGTGACTATGTACAGGCTTCGGATTGGTTAAACCCCTGCCAAGGCCATGCGTTAAAAAGGGGAAATTAAGGGGTATTATCTACCAAGACCCTTCCAAACAATCAGTCAGACGGTTTGACTAATTCTTATTGGTCAAATAGACCAGACCTTGGGGTCAAAGTCTAAACAAACCAATCGGAGGGGGTAGAACTGGACGGATTGTTTACTGCCCACGCTGGCAGTGACATCCCATCCCCAGCCTCTATATCAACAAAACCACCACCATGCTCTATATTTCATCCGCCAGCGCTACTACGGCGCCTTAAGGAAAGAAGACTCCTGGATGAGTTGTTCTGTTTTTTGCCGGCCCAGTATGACACACGACAAGATGCTATTGAGCGAGACTAGGATCTCTGGGGTGAGTTTACAACAAGTCGCGTTACGATTAAGATTCCAGCGACGGTGGGGAATTTGCTTTGTGAATACTGAGTGTTCGAAACACTTTCTTTTCTTTTGCTCTTACAAAAAAATAATAAGAAATTTAAAGAACTGCTTGATTACGTCAACAAAAGCATTTCTCGAGTGATTGGGGTGTATCAAACCCCCAGCACATCGGACGATCGCTTTAACTTTCCGCTGAAAGCGAACCCTCTCAGTACGAAAAAGGCAAGAGGTCGCCGAATAATTCCTTTCGCTTTCGACGATATAAGTTTCGGCCTATCGTGATTGACGTTGCGGAAGGGAAAAAAGCAAAGACCTACCGTGGCTTGCTGAATCATGGATCCACTCGTCAGATGGCTGGACCAAGGCAGTTCTCGCTGTTGACCTCGAGTACCGGGATTCGCGAATGCGGAAAATGGAAAGCGATGATGGAACACCCCTGAAAAGCTGTGTATTCTGTGCATCAGTATGCTCCCTGTATCGATGAAGACGACCAGGTAGTTGGGACGGTTGGGACGGTTGGGACCTATCCGGAGAATGAGGTATTCCGTAGGCCTGATCCCACTTACTACCACTGATTTTATCGTCTCACCTGGTGCTCAATCCCTGCGTCTGTCCGATTTCTGTCTAGAAGGTACGCATAGCAAATATACCCCAAACCCGTTCTTATCGTTACACACGCCGAACTCGCTTTTATGCTCGGTAGAGCTGATGACGATGCCGCGGTAGCTGAGGGAGCCCCACCCCCACGTCGTGGCCCTGCAACCTGGATCCTGCATTATAAGGATCCCAGAACAAGCACTACGCGCATTACTGCTATGAAGTACTCATCCCCACTTGGTTAGCGATTATTGGATCATGTTTGACGCAACGAAGGCAGAATATTTGGTGCTTCAGGGCTACTGAGGTGGTGACTTGTGCTTGCATATAGCGTAGGAATTTAAGATTTCGCTCGCAAAGTTTCTTGGCGTGAATTGAGTGCGATCCCTTTTTACTAAGCCTCAAGTTCTGATACAGTCATGATTCACCTGAATGCTGTGGAATATGCGTCTTTCACGTAATTTCTTATGGAATACATAATTAATTGAGGTCAGAATATGAAGAGATGCCGTGTGTGACTGGTTTCCGGGAGGTCAGTCGCTTCTGCCAGGTTAAAGGACATGGAGTATTTTATACCTCGTGGGTCTGCAAATTTCCGCTTACATAGAGTCTGTGCACGCCTGACGCACGGGGCCACCTGACGCACGCTAACCGAGGGGTCACCCACACAAAACCAAAATTTTTGACATAATCGTAAAATCATCAAAATGCAACCAATTGAG